ATTTTTAAAAGAAAAATTAGCAACCTTCAAGGTAAAAGGAGCCCATTTAGAAATATAAATCCACAATTATGAAATATTCTTATCTCTTAGCTTCAGCTAATCATCTTCAGGAAATTTTCCAAAATTAAATGGAAAGTAAGAAGCGTGTATATGACTCTGAACCAGGATTGCAGATCATCTTGCCCTCAGGCAGAATGCATTAGAAAATGGGCCACTTCCACTCCTCTCCAGCCAACCCAGGGCGGGGATAAACTGGAGAAGGTTGTCACTGAACTATTTATTAAGAAAAAAATTACTACCAATATCTTAAATTCTCAAAAATGCAAAAATGACCTTATAAGGTATCTAGCTGCTTGAATTCAGTCAATAGTAAGTTTTTTTAAAACTAGAAAAATCTTCCCACTGGGTGAACTGGATACTAAATACATGGTGTCAGAGGAAGCAGAGACAGCTGCACCAAGAGCGAGGTACTGTGGGTTGATGGACAAACAGGATCTTGCTACATCAATGCCCTGTATGCCGTCTGAAGATATGTATTACTCTGGCAATTCCGTGACGGCCATTCTGCTCTATTTTGCTTATACTTGTGTATTTTAGGGTGTATCTCAGAGCTGTGCTGCCATTGGGGATCACCCTCTTGAAGCTATGTTATTTGTTTCACCGTTTCTCAGTAAATGAAACCCAGGGACATTGAGACTATAGGAATTGTCTCATAACAAGGGTTTGCAGGGAGGGGCGATATGGAGGGGTGGAGGAGATATGAAGGAGATGACGTCAAGAAGCCCAGGAAGGAAAAGTATGTTTGGAGACTGATTCACAAAGCAATTGTACAATGATGTTTGACATGACTGAACTATGGAATGACATGACATATGTATTAATTCCCAAGTTACAGGGGGAAAATTTTTAAGCATAGATCCAGGAAAGAGTTCTGGGCTTACACTAAATCATATCTCCTACTTGAGAACAATTGGTTCTTACATCATGGCCCTGCTTAGAACTCAGTTTCATGAACTGATCACTGAAGATAAGGGTGCTACAGCAAAGCGTGGTGAAGAAAGTCGATGGTCCCCGGATATCAGTCTGAACTGTCTGGGGCCTTGACGGCTGGTATTTAAACAGTTAGCCATTGAAGAGAGGAGTCAACTAAGTCCACTGTGAAGAGGCACACCACCTTGCATGATCTAAGGATGACAATTACAAAATCCAAATATGGTGAAGTGAAAAGCATCAGGGTGAGAATCATGAACACCCAATTTGTGGGAGGCTGTGGAGGATAGTGGGAGCCCAAAAACCTATCAGCAGAATATCTAGTCAGACAGAGCAGCTGGCAGATACACTCTAGCCAAGGACAAGCGTCCTGAACAGCCTTACTTCGGGCAGAGACCACTGTCATCTTGATTATGCTGGTCAAATACAGTACTTGGCCAAGTGACCTCCTTAAAGACGTGATCTGAAATTGTTCTGGGTGCAAGTATCTCGTAGCTGTTCCGTGACAGACATTTCTTCCCTGGCTTTTTGAATGTTGATGGGGGTCTTCTCCCTCTCACTTATTGTCTCTACTTTGGTCTTTATACTAACATGATCTTATTCTTACTTACCGCCTTAGTGTGATTAGTTTTTCATTGTTTCTGTTTGGTTTCCCAGTGCTGAAACACAGGAGGAGTGGATGTATATGATAATTGACACAAGGTTTATGGGGGGAAAGGGGTGGGAGATGGGCAATAGGGCAGGAAAGGGGATTATCCATTTTGGGAGTGGATAGTGATGGCGGGAGGTGGGAGGAAGCACTAGAACTGATCGTGATTGCACCACTCATACTGAAGGTGAATTAACCGGGGTGAGGGGGGTGATGCTCTAAGACAGATGTGGTGATGATTGTACAATTCTCCTGGATATGATTGTATGATTGAACTACTCAATTGCATGCTATGTAAATTATGTGACAATAAAACTGTTGAGGGAAAAAAACTAAAAAATCTTATGAGTTGGAATCAACTAATGGCAGAATGTTTGGTTTTGTTTATAATAAAAGCATTATAGGAAAGATCATATATAAATTCAACTGTTTATAATCTATGGATATTAGAGCTGATTGTGATGCTATATAAACAACCCTTTTTAGAAGCAGTTTAACTATGGAAGTGTATGATGTGTGAATATTATTTCAAGAAAACTACTGAATAAAAAAGAAACCAACTTGACCTAGGGCTACCTCAGGTTACCAAGGAGGAGGAGTTTTTGCCGAGGGGCCATAGAGTTCATCTTCACGGCGGTGGAACAAATTGAAGAGGGATCACAAGAATGGTTGTCCAACACAAAGAGTGTAATCAATGGCACCAAATTAATTATACATGCAGAAGTTGGTGAATTGATGAATGTTTTCTTGTGTCTATTTTTGCCAGAGCGGAAAAAAATGACATGAGTAACAATGAGTGCGAGGGGAAAAGAAACTGTTCTGAAACGGATGGTGGTAAAGACTGCACAGCTCTTCTTGATATGCTTGAACTATTGAATTGTCTGATTTCTAGATGAGGTGCCAAAAAACTGTGACAAAATAATAAGAATAATGACCAATGGGTGTGAATAAAGAATGGAAGGAAGATGTAGAAAATATTTAGTTATCATGATAAGCTCATGGGTATTTTCAGATATGTTTGCTCCCTTTATTTACTCTTTTCTTGTTACTCACCCTTGCCCTTTAAACAAGATTGGGTAAACTTGGAAGAAAGAGCCATCGGGGGTGAAGCTGTAGACCATCACTGGGTGTAAAGTGACAACAGATTCTGAAAAGAGAAGACTCCAGCTACAAAAACCAAACAAGTCCCCCAGAGAAACAAGCCAACACGTGTCCACACAAACGCTTCACATGACACACACACACACACACACACACACCCCAATGAGGACGAACAACAGAAATGTGGGTGAAGGGAGACAGAGGACGGTGTAAGATACGAAAATAAGAATAATTGATCATTTATTCAGAGGTGGGGGAGGAAGGGAAAAAAGAGGAGCTGATTCCAAGGGCTCAAGTAGAAAGAAAATGTTTTGAAAATGACGATGGCAATATACGTACAATGTGCTTGAAACAATTGATGTATGGATTGTTATAAGAGCTGTAAGCGTTCCCAACGAAATGATTCATTAAAAAAATATTTTTAACTTCACATGAACGTTCATCACATATCATAGCAATAGTCATAATAACCCAAAGTGAAAACAACTGTTAGTTTTCTGGTGTGGCTTGTGCCTCCCTTCTTTGCTTCACAAACTGAACGAATTCACTCTGAAGTAGGCTTTGTAACCCAAGTGAGTTTTTATGAAGGAACGAAAACATTTCGGGTTTTACAGTCTCAAAAGGGTGCACGCTCTTTCTGGAAAGCGAGCCCAGCCACTCAGAAGGCACGCTGGGGTTCACAACTGGGCACAAAACACCACGTGAATGAGAACACCCACACGTGCGGCACTGGGGAATCCGGGGACTGAGAGGTCACGAGAGCAAGCGGGCTAGAGGATATGGCGAGAGGGCAAGAGAGGCTAAGACCCCAAGCTCAAGTGGGCCCTGAGCAGGCCCATAGCAGGCCCTGAGGGGGCACGCCTGGGAGGCACGTGTGCCCCCACCCTCCGACTGCCACAAGACCAGAGCAAAAGAGAGAAATTGGCTTTCCCAAGAGCCAGCTTTTAACAGCCCTGGGTGGGACGGCATGGTTGAAGCTATTGGTTGACCTCATTGCCTGAATTAGGACCACCTGTGATGTACCTAAGGTGGGTGTCTCCAAGGTATTGGTTTTACCTGGGTCTAGGAAGCTTGTTTCTCTGCGTGCTTAGTTTGGGGTCTTTCTCATAGGTGTTCAATGGTTGCCTGATTTCTTTCCAACCTCCTCTATGGGGGCCTTTTCAGACATGCAAGGGACAGCCCCCCTGTCCCTAAATCTAGCTACCTAACACAACCTAAGTAGCTATTAGCTGATTAAATGGAAAAAAACAAACTAGAGTATAGCCATCCAATGGAATTTTATTCAGAAATAAGAAGGAGAGTGTACTCATACATGCTACAAATGGAGGAACTTCGAAAACAATATGCTATGTGAATGAAGCCAGTCACTAAGACCACACAGAGAATGATTCCATTCATATGAAATTTCCAAAACGGGCAAATCTGTAGACATGGAAAGTAGGTTAGTGATTACCTAGGGCTGAAGAGAGGAGGGAAGAATGAGGAGGTTGGAGGGTGAATACCAGGAGTAGGGGATTTCTTTGGGGGGTTAATTAAAATGCTCTCAACTTGATTTAGGATTGAACCCCTGTGGATGTAAAAAAACAATCATTTAATGATATACTTTGTATTAGTGAATTATACATATGGCAGATGAATTATAGCTCCGTAAATCTGTTTTAAAAGTGGCGGAGGTGTCCAGAAGAAACTATGTCTGATGGCCTGCTTCCTTCCTTGGTTACCATGGGCCGGCTCCTTATCCCGAAGATAAGGAGTTCTTCATGAAACACCGAGGTGCAGAACGAAAGATTTTATTTTACTACTTCTTGCCAAAGTGTTCCCTGGCGAGCCGAATGTCTTGCCTCAGAAAAGAGACTTCCTAACTCACCTGGGGATAATCTCAGATTCTGAAAGTAAAAACAAAAGTAGATAATGGCTCTTTATAAAGAATTTGATAGGAACAGAAGGAGAAAGAGAAGGTGAGAGATTAGAGCACTCTTGGGCAGAAACAACAAGGAGAGGCTAAAGAGAAGAAAAGGCTAATATTCAAATGTAAATGATCTGCTGAATCATACTGTGATGTAAACATCCCTTGCTGTTATCCCTGAATCAGCCTCCACTGTCCACTCATTAATGGTATAAGCTAATGACGTGGGTTCCATGCTACACTGCTAACCTTGAGGTCAGCAGTTTGACACCAGCTTTCAAATCTACTGGAGAAAGAGGAGGCGGCTTTCTACTCCCCTAACGAGCTACAGTCTTGGAAACCCACAGGAGCAGTTCTACCCTGTCCTAGAGGGTGGCTGTGAGTCAGAATCGACTCGATGGCAGGGAGTTTGTTTTGAGTTGCTGCTGTGTTGAAGAGAGCGAAGCAGCTTGCGGAGCAAAAGCTAAGAACGAGAACTCAGCAGAAAGGAGGGCTGTCGGTGGCCAAAGGTGTTTAAGCCCTGGATTCACAGTAATCTTCCCAAAGGATGTAACTATGTGTTTCGATCAATCTCATCTAAATAGTAAAGGACATTGCGTTGTATAGACGTAGAGTTCTTAGTTGGAGCAGAGGTTGCAGAGGTAGCAGCATTCATGGGTTATAGGCCATTGACCTTGGGAGGAGCAGAGTGAGGATGACCAGTAAAGAGATGGGTCACCGAGACAAGAAAGACCATTGCCTTCAAAACAAGAAGGCCAATGGCAATGGTTAGTATTCAAGAAGGCCAATGGCAGTAGTTAGTACTTGCTGAGCAGGGCATGGGAGACACGACTGTACTATCAACATCTTCTGGCTATCAACAGAGATTTTTGTCATGCTGGCATCAGAGAATGGTGGTGGGAAGGCACCATCAGGGGCTCTCCAGGGCAATCCCTCAGACAATGCGGGAACACCATGGCCTTTAAAAGTCCTTCCACAGCCTCGAGCTTGTCTTGCATGTAAAGCCCCACCGACGACGACTGAATATTTGACGGAAGATCCATTCATAGGGTTTTCTTCGGAGCCAGGTGACATCATAGCACTGTAAGGTAGAGAATCAAACATAATCTAAACTTCTAAATCGCCATAAATCTAAAAAGGAGGGTAGGAGGTGTGGGAGGAAGGTAGGAGGGTAGGTAAAGCTTGGAATGCCCAACTCAAGAAGCACTCCGGTCTTGGTTCATTGGAAGACAACTTTAAGCGACAGGGGAGGGGTGGGAGCAGGAGCCAGAACACATTTGTCTAGAACTGGCCTTTCTACTTGTCACATGTGCAGTGGTCCTCCCCGGAAGGGTGCGGGACCTGCCCTAGGAGGAGAGCATTCCAACCGAGAAGGAAGAAAGAGGGTCGTAAGCACTCCTGCTTTTACCTGCTTCCTGGGACTGCTCTTTCGTCTCCACCACTGGGAAGTGATCACTTGCCTCCTTGTGTCTTCTGCTGCTCTCTGGCGGTAGGCCCTTGTTGGAAGATGTGTGCTTCTGGGCCCTCCACAGCCTCCCCAAACACAGAAATACAAGTTCCAAAAGGGTGAATGAGAGACAGAGTGCGCTGACCCCAAACATGAGCTTTAGAAAGATGGTCTTCTCTGAGGGGCGAGACAGATTGCAGTTTATACTCCCATGGCAAGGATCTCTACGGCACACAAAAGAACTGGGCATCTTGAACCCATACAGATAGTACTGAGCACCCAGGGTCACCCCCTCAAGGACCAGTCGAACCCCGATCTGTGCCACATAGGCCCAGAGCAACCTGGAACTTCTTGGACACGTGGTATCTATGCTGCTCATGCCCTCTTGGACCAGGGGCACCTCCTCTTTCACCTTTCCCAATTCTTCCCAATGCCATATCACATGGTACAGGGTGAACCCCATGTACAGGGTGCTGGGCACAGCCACCAAGATGACCTGGAAGGTCCAGAAGCGCAGTGGAGAGAGGGGATGGAAGGCATCGTAGCAGGTAGCTTTGCAACCAGGTTGCTGGGCGTTGCACACAAATTCACTCTGCTCATCCCCGTAGACCCCGGTCCCAGTGGCAGCCAAGAGGAAGATGCGGACCCCAAGGAGCACCGGAAGCAGGAGCCGGCCCACCAGGGTAGAGTGGCGGCTCTCTTCAGCCAACAGCTGCCACAAGTACCGGCCACACATCTTCCTGTGGAACAGAGAAAGATGCCCGTTGTAGATGTGTCCGTTAGAGGAATCTTCAGGCCACGTCTTTACTTTTAATTCAAGGATGGATGTTGTCTTTCTCCCCAAGGATTTGGCTGGTCAAATTGCACCTATTTACTGATTACTGGAATCATTTCCGTAAAAGAATATGAGTGCCCGTGGAAGCAGCTCTCTTCTTCCCCGTCTGAATGGCTAGCATGGAGAGAAACGCAGCCCATGGGTTGACCAGAGTCTGCCTTTGTCTCACACCTTTTCTCCCCCCATCTTAGTGGTATACTGGTTGCACGTTGAACTGCTAACCACAAGATCAGCAGTTCAAAACCGCCAGCCGCTCCACAGGACAAAGACTTGGCTTCAGAATGGACTCAGAGGCAGTGAGTTTAACTTTGGTTTCTTCCCTTGACCAAAAGCTGAATGGTAAGAGACCAGAGTGTTATGTTGGTTATTCATCGCTCTTTTGTTTTTTAAGCAACAAAATGATTGCTTCTTCAGGCAATGACAGCCAGATGTAGGGCTTCAAGTGAACCAAATCAGAATTGACGTGTGTGTGTGTGTGTGTGTGTATGTGTGTGTGTGTGTGTGTGAGATGTACATTCTCCTATGGTCTTTCTTTTCTCCAGGACCATCCCTTCAGGTGTTCACAGGTATATTGGCAAGACCCCTCACAGTGGTAAGACTGAACTGTCCTTAGTTTAGGGACCTGAGAGGGGGATTATAGAGAAAGTAAATGAGTGAGTCTACAGCTTCTTAGTCTGATGCTCTTTACACCTAACCACATTGGGTGGGGAGGGACTGCCTGTCTTGAAGGACACCCAACAAAGTTCTGTTATGGTTATTGTTTGGGGCAGCTGAGTTAGTCTCAATCAATGTACAGGTGCCCTATCTGACAGATTAGACTGATCGATAGTGTCTCCTAGGCTCTCACCTTTACAGGGGCAGATTGCCAGGGGTTTTGCTCCCATGGACCTGCTCGTGGGTTCAAACCATCCACCTTAAACAGCCAAGTGTTTAATCATTGCCCCTTCAGGGCTCCTTCCGTAGAGTGTGACATCACACACCCGCCACCATGGAGCCAACTTCAACTCACAGCAACCCCACCGGACGGAGTAGAACTGACCTTTGAGTTCTGAGACGGTACATCTTTCTTTCTCTTTTGCTTATTCCTTCATCCATCTTTGTTTCAGGCTTTAATGAGTAAGTATATGCATTTGAATACAACCCACCTTGCTAGCAGATGTTTCTTGGATGAATTTTTATGACAAGCAAGTACTATTTACATGTTTCACATCATTTTTAAAATATAGGTCATATCGTTTTCACTTTTTACCACAAAGTGTTCCTTGCATATTTTTTTGGTAGAAATTTGTTAAAGGAGGATTCATTTCATATCTTGGACTTAATCACACGTCTAGATATGTTTAACTCTTATAACTCGTAAGGAGCCCTGGTGGCATGGTGGGTTAAGCATTGGCTTGTCAGTCATTTGAATTCGACAGCTGCTCCGCAAGCCTCCTCTTTCTCCTGCAGAGGGGCTGGGGGGTCCAACTGCTAAGCCTGTGGCTATAACCCATGACGCCACCAGGACTCCTTTTTGTATGTTTGCTTGGGGTTTCCCCCCCCTCCCCCCATCTCCAAAGAGTTTAGAAAAGTTAAGTGCAATATGTTTGGGACCAACCTCAGAATGACTCTATAAAAAATCAAACCTTGCTATCCTTTGCTGTTGTACTTTAATGGCACAGTGGGTGACAGGTTGGGCTGCTAACCACAAGTCATCAGTTCGAATCCACCAGCTGCTCTGAGGGAGAAAGATGTGGCCTTTCGGTCCCATAAAGAGTTACAATCTTGGAAATCCACAGCATCAGTTCTGTCCCATCTTACGGGGTTGCTGTGAATCGGAATCAGCGCAACGGCAGTCAGTTTGGGGTCTTGCTCCTTGGGTTTTTCTCTCCCTCAGGGGGAGAGATAAGCAGGAGCAGACTTCAGAAATCCCTCAATTCCCCAGCCAAAACACCGTTCAACTATAGTGCCAAGTTGGCCGCCTTTTATTTTTGTCCCAATCAGCCACCGTCCTCGATACCCAGCAGCAACTTCACACTATCCATAGCTGGTTCCTCTCCTCGTCAAGAGGTCAAGCACACCTCTCGTTCCACAGGGAAAATGACGTGAAGCCCTCGGCTACTACTCTGCTCATCCTGACGTGTCTGTCTCTAGCGTCTCAGAAAAGACGTGTCCCCACACCTGTCCCTGCCAAGTCTGTGTCCAAATCCCCTTTCCTGCTTCCTTCTAGAGTCTGCTTCCCCACCTGTTTCCCTGCGGATGTGAGTACACTCGGGTGGCTCCCTCTTAACCCTGCTGAACCGTCAGCTGACTTCTTAGGTTAACCTAACAGAAAATCGGGCCTTTGCCTAATCTGTCTCGTATCAGCTTCCCGAGGATAATATCCCATAGGAGGCACACAGCAATGTGTGTGGATGCTAATGAGATGGATCGATCAACAGCTGCAGCCAGGAGGGGACTCAAACACAGAAACTGTATGAAGACTCGGCCACAACTCACCGCAGCGCGGTAAGGTATGGATGAGAACCGACCATCTCCCAAAGCTTAGGCAGAAGGGGCGCGTCTACACGGTGTGAAGGGATTGGGCTGTTACTGTTATTGTTGGGTGCTATTGAGTCAGTTCCAACTCATCGGGCCCCCACGTACAACAGAAGGAAACACCGCCCGATCCTGCACCCTCCTCACCATTGCCTTTACCTCGGAGCCCATGGTTACAGCCAGTGTGTCCATCCAACTAGTGCTCAGACGTCCTCTTTTTCGCTTCCCCTCTACTTTACCAAGCATGAGGTCCTTCTCCAGGGACTAGTCTCCCCTTAGAGCGGGTCCAGTGGACCCGTCCTAAAGATCTGAGACGATCCACGACTGTGAGAAAAGTACATTCTGAGCCATTCAGAGTCACACTCGGACCCTTCGCCTGGCCCTCACATTCTTTCTACCTTCATTTTGCATTGTGAAGATTTAGGAGGAAGAATTGGCCTTTGAAAATGATTTTCTATAAAAATAGGTTCACATTTTTAGAAGTCCACGTTCTGACCCCAGAAAAATATAAAACTGCACCCATGGTTAAATTATCCATCCCCACACCCTCATTCTTACAACTGTAAACTTCTTTCTGTTTAACGTGCAAACCCACTAAACACAGGAATGTGGTCAGCAGCAGAATTAAAACCCACTGGAGACAGTAGAACAGATTCTAAGGAAATCAAATTGGGATCCGGGAAAACCTACTTGGGAAACTTCCAGAACCCTCTCTCATTAAAAATCATGAGAGAGGCCCCCCAACTACCAGGACCCCAATTCTGCCTTGCAGACCTGGCTAGACCAGATGATGCACAGCGGTACAGATGGGAATTGGAAACGCAGGGAATCTAGGACAGATGAACCACTCAAGACCAGGGGTGACAGTGGCGATACCAGGAGGGAAGGGGGGTGTAGAAAGGGGGAATTGATCACAAGGAGCTACATATAACCTCCTCTCTGGGGGATGGGCAACAGAGGGGTAGGTGAAGGGAGACGCCGGGCAGTGTAATATAAGATATAATAATAATTTATAAATTATCAAGGATGCATGGGGGAGGGGGGCAGAGGAATGGAGGGGGGAAAAAAGGAAAATGAGCTGATTCCGGGAACCCAAGAAGCAAGCGAATTTTGGGAATGATGAGGGCAACAAATGTATAGATGTGCTCTACACAATTGATCTACGTATGGTGTTTGATAAGAGTTGTATATGAGCCCCAATAAATTGATTTAAAAAAATCATGAGAGAGGTAAATACATGTGGGAACAAATGCATGTATGTTTTCTAATTTGAAAAGTAAGACAACCTTTTTTAAAAAAAAATCACTAACCTATTTATCAGATGAGAAAGCACTTCAGGGAAAGCCTAGGAGTAGTCTCTCAATGGATGTTTGAATCAAACCTTTGGGGAAGAACTGCGAACTCCAACAGAAACTCAAGGGAAGCCCATAGGTCCTAGCCTATAAACCAGGAGTTTCTCAAACTCCAGAAAGCTGGGCATTGTTCTGCGCCTGGCTCTCCCCACTAGATGTCAGTAGCGTACCTCCCTCCACTGTGACAACCCCAAACGCCCCGCAGTCACTGCTGCATGCTCCCCACTGGGCTAATCCACTTCCTCTAAGAGCCACTGCGTAAGCACGGCACCAGCCCGTCACTTGTCCACCCTTGGCCTCAATCACTGTCTCTGTAAAGTATGAGGTCTGTAGCAGATCGTCTCAAAGGGAGTTTCTAGCCTCCCACTTGGTGGGGTCAAGATCATTGGCCCCATCCTTCCCCCCTAGGCTGGGGCACATCCTCTCTAACCCAGCTCCATTTGTAAGGGTGCCTAGAGGTCTGGCGTTCTCAGAAACCCTGGGCTCGGGGGATGCTGATTCAGGGATCTTCCCTGGGCTACTCTAGGGAGTCAGCAATATTAACTTGGTAGCTTGTGATCTCATTTCATTGCAAGCCCAACCTTCAAACTCACTGCCAGTGAGTCCACTCTGACTCACAGGGACCCTGTCAGGCAGAGTCGAGCAGCCCCTGTGGATTCTGAAGCTATAAGTCTTTACAGGAGCAAAAGGACTCATCTTTCTCCAGTGGAGGGGTTGGTGGGATGAACCCACTGGCCAGCCGGGGGTTGGCAGCCCAATGAGACCTTGATCCAAGTTTTCCTGAGCAGCTCCTGGTTTTTGTTTGGTTGGAGGGGCTTATTTTAGGAAATTTTCAAGAGTCCATTGGTGACAGAATCCATGTCAAAGACTTAAGGTGTGATGGAGGAAATGTCCAGTGAAGGAGGACACAACAGGGCTAGACTCAGACTCTTGGCAATACGCCCACCCACGTTACCTGGAGAGAATTTCTAAAGGCTTTTACTCCAAGTGTAGTCTGTGGACCAGCAGCACTGGTGTCAGCAGGAATGCAGA